AAATGGGCAACGTCCTCAGACCCTCAGGGCTCCAGATCCACCATGCAATTAGTTTGTGGTAATTCAATTAATTCATTCTAATTAAGTGTTAATGCTGTGTACACCGCTAACAAGCATTAAAATGATAGGGGCCTTAAAGAAAAGGCCTTTGTTCCCTAAAGGTATACAATACTGTGCTTACATGGTGCATAAATGTGTGCTTAATAAAGCTACCACAAACTAATTACTTACTCATTATAAAATAACCATTTGTCTGGCTGGAGACAAACATCAAGTCTCTTTGATCCCAAGATAATTTTTTTGAATTTTGTCAGATTTTTGTTCAGTCTTGCTTTCAGAACTATTGTAGCATTTCAAGTATACCCTAATGTCCGTGTTTTGGTTTAGCGTGTTAGCATGCTAATGTTTTGCAAATTCGCACTGAACACAAAATACAGCAGAGGCTGATGGGAAAGTCATTAGTTTTACACGTAACGAAAAAAACAAAGTTTTAGACAAGTTCAAGTTTTTACTGGAGGCCGCCAGATTTAAAGTTAAGGGATCACCTAAGTTATGAAAATAAGTGGACACATGAATCTACGTCAGTGTAGAGGGACCATGAATGTCTGAACTTCATGGCAATGCATCCAACATTTGTTTACTTTAGGCCAAAGTGGTGGATTTACTGACAGACCAGCATTGCAATCCGTTGAGCCACGTGCTAACAATGAATAGATTTAACAATGAAAGTCGTTGGTAATCTGAGTCAGCTGTGTGGTATAGTGCGGCCAGCCCTCTCCAATTGCATTTTTCCCCCCAATTTGACGGCCTATAATAGTGCTGCATCTTGCAATCGATGTTGCAAACTCTTTGAGGACTGTAGAGCATCACGATAAATAACAATAATTACATTTTGCGTTCAGATAATGTGTCTGTTTTTGTCGTGCAAACCCAGTCCAGCAGACATCAGCTGCAGTATAGATTTGAGTGCATTTGATTGATGAATAAGACAAGAGTAACCGCAGCAGACATTATTAGGGCTTGTTTACTGCAGTCTTCTCTTCTCATTGCAGGCTCCACCACATAGTTAGCAAAGCAAAGATTATGAGACATTTCTTGTCTCAGTTTTTGCCACTTGTGAGCAACGTGTCATTGATTGTCACCATGGAAACACAGCTGCTAGCTCTGAGGCGAGCGTGAGGGTAGAATAGCAAACTATATTATGTTTCAAGGTGCTATTGATTAACACTTAGAACATTCATCCACTAGATGTTGCACTCTCCCTCCATTCTGTTTCACTCACGTCAAAACAAGTTGGTGCCAGTTTGTGGCACAACCTGCACGGTCCACTGGAGTGAGATTCAGACAAACAGAGTGAATTTAGGTAACGTTTAGAACGTGTAGCTTCTCCGGGATTCAAACTGTTATTTTTCTTCTTTTGACCATCTAAGCGGGGACAACAGACCCTAGCTTTTAGTACTTGTTGTGCCGAATTGTAATTTTCTGGGTTATTGTTGTTCGGATGATTAAGCTAAATTAGCTTATATGTGCTAATGTTAGTTATCACTTGTTGCCACGATAAATATTACCAAAATATTCTCGAAATATTTCAACCCAAGCAATAAATCTGGGTGAGGCTGTGACACCTGTGGGTGTTTGGATTCTCCTGTCGTCACCCACATCCTGATGGCGTTGGATCAGAAATGGTGGAAAATGACACCATGTGTATAAATATGTGAATGAACCATAGACTGTCTATGGTATTAACAATACTTACTGTATTCATGTCTCATGTATTCCTGTCAGGATATCATAACAGTTTCAGCAACGACGATGAAAAGTTACTTTTATAAAATGTAGCAACTGCAACTTTAAAGTGTGCGTAGTGCTGTTTAAACTGTGCACGAAGCTGTTCGGGTTTTCAGTTTAAATCAGATGTTCATGTTGTTTAAATCAACTCTGATTGAATGTTTTATTACCATGTAGCAACTTGAACAAATATGTGTTCATGCATGATGGCCGAGGCCATACACAAGGGCTTATGCTGCTTTCCTACGACACCCTGACACATAACACAGCTTGTTCGGTTGATGAAAAACTCCAGCTCCAGCTCATGTTGCCACTGTAATACCCGCCACTGTGTTGAGGCGGATATTTAAAGCGTCTGCAGAGCCATTTTCTTGTTTGAGGTGATGTATTTTTTTTTTTAACCTTTATTTAACCAGGTAAAATCAATTGAGAACCAATTCTTATTTTCAATGATGACCTGGCCAAGAGGCAGTAGCACAGTCCACACTACACAAACAACACAAATACAATACAGTTTGACAAACAATGGAAAAATGACTAAAAACAACCTAGATAAAATAATAAACACTATGTACAAAATAAAAGGCAGATTACTGGATGTTATTTGTAAAAAAAAAAAAATGGAAGAAAGAAAGAGAAGTGAGGGCTGGTCAGCAAGTACAGCAGTCAACTATAACTTGTTGCAGCTTATGTTTGAACATGTTGAGAGAGGTGAGAGCTGTTAGTTTGAGTGTGTTTTGTAGTGAGTTCCAGTCCTTTGCAGCGGCAAAATGAAAGGAGTTATGACCAAACACAGTACGGACTTTTGGAATGATGAGCCTAATGAAGTCACTGGATCTTAAATGCTGATTGCTGTCAGAAATGTGCAGAAGATTTGAGAGGTAATGAGGAGTCATTCCCAAAATGGATTGATAGACCACGAGCAGCCAGTGTTGTAGCCGCCTGGTATGAAGGGAGGGCCAATCCACCAATCTGTAAAGAGCACAGTGGTGGGTGGTGAAGGGTGCACATGTGGCAAAACAGATTGCTGAGTGGTGGAGTGTGTCCAGTTTTCTGAGGGTGGTCTTTGATGCCATTTTATAAATTATATCGCCGTAATCAAAAAAAGGAAGGATGGTCATTTTCACAAGGGTGAATTTGGCAGAGTGTGTGAAGGAGGCCGTTTCGATACAGGAAACCCAGTCTAGCTTTGACTTTAGCCAGAAGGTTATTGATGTGTATGTTAAATGAGAGAGACGAGTCCAACCAGAATCCAAGGTATTTGTAGGAGCTGACAAACTCCAGCTCCGAGCCATCAGCACTGTAGACCTTGGGAGGGCTGGGAATGATGAGGTTTTTCCGGTCAAACAGCATACATTTGGTCTTTTTGGGGTTGAGGAGCAGGTGGAGGCTGTGGAGAGACTGTTGGATGGAGGTCAGGCTTTGTTGAAGAGTGGACACAGCAGAGTAGAGTGAGGGACCAGCTGAATATATGATGGTGTCATCAGCATACAAATGAATCAAGGAATTTCCAGCAGCTTTTGCTACATCGTTAATATAAATGGAAAACAAAATAGGGCCTAAGATGGAGCCTTGAGGGACACCTTTAGAGATGGTAAGCGGTTCAGACATGATGTTTTCAGTCTTCACCCGCTGGACACGACCAGCCAAGTAGCTAGCAAACCAGTTGCAACAACTACTGGACAAGCCAATGCTGGTAAGTCTTTGCAGGAGAATGTTATGGCTGACCGAGTCAAAAGCATTGGCCAGATCTATGAAGGCAGCTACACAAGTCTGTTTGTTGTCTATGGCGGTGATGACGTCATCATTTTCCAAACAGGCAAAGCAACATGACAGATCCTTGCAGCTGTAGTCAGCAACAGTTTGAATCTTTTTTTTCTCCTCTTTCACTAATCCAAGCTGGGGAAGTGTTGGGTTTAAACATCTTGCTTGCAAAGATTAGCATGTGCTTTGTCTCTATTAACAGAATTCTATTTAGTTATTTACACAGCCTTTTCATTTGTATTTGATATCATAAGGTGTCAGTGCTGGTCAGCATGACATTTAATAATTCATTTGGCCTGCCTTTGAGTGGCATGCAGTGTTAGTTGAGTGAGCAGGTAATTAATCAACATTTCAGGTGTGAGACTTTCTTCATCCAAACCACTTAATATATATACAGTATATAGAGAGAGAGAGTCTTAAGATACTGATAGGAATTGCAATTATATAGTCCGCACTGAATAATTTTCTGCATCATTTTGATACAGGATTTACCTGATTTTTGCAATGTTACATAAGTGAAGAAAGGCGGTCGTTGAAGGTTGTTTAATGTGGAAGTTAATGGACATATCCTGATCAAACATAACTCAAAAGTTTTTTTACGGTGGAGCTGAAGGCCATAGCAACACCATCAAGAGTAACTTCATCATTAGATCATTTATGTAGAGATGTTCTGGGCCTAGTAGAATAACTTCAGTTTTGTACATCAGGAAGTTGGAGGTCATCCAGGTTTTTATGTCCTTAGAGAGTCTTGGAGTTAACGGGTTAGTTTTGACTGGCTTGATAGATATTTTTGGGTGTCATCTGCATAACAGTGAAAGTTTATGCAATGTTTTCTGATGATATTGCCTAAAGGAGGCATGTAGGTGAATAGAAAAGGTCACAGCACAGGAACTTGTGGAGTTACATGACCTACTTTGACATGCATGGGGAATTCATCGTTTACAAACAGCCAAAACCTCTGGATCAAGAGTGGGCTTTTTAAGAGATGTGATTAAAGTTAAAAAAAGCTAGCTGGTAAGTTCCTCAGTTGATATTGGTTTGTCCCACTACTGACATTACATATTGAATATTGATGATATACCCCAAATCATTACTACCCTTGAATATCTGTTATACATTTATATCCGAACCAACAATATCAATCTCTCCACCGTCTGTAGGATTCATCCTCTGGAAACCTTGAAACTACTAGGTTTCATTGCAATTCAACCAAAAATGATTGAGACATTAACAGAAAACAAAATAAATCAACCATGTAGTAGCATTAGATTAAAAAAAAAGAATCAGGGGATTACTACTAAACCATCCAATATTTGCTCAGATATTTCGGTTTGAATCAAAGTGTCGGACTGACCAAATGACCAACATTACCATCCCTGGAACCCCCGCTGTTTACTTCTAGGATTGTGGTTGGACTGAACCCTTGGTCTTCTTTCTTTTTCTTTCAGGATATCCCATCAAGCTGGAGCCCAGGTAACCACAGAGCATCCTAGGATCTCTCCTGTTCTGGACAGGGGGGTTTAACAGCAGGCGCCAATCTCCATGCAGGCTCTCAGGATGGGGAGTTGTGAGGAAGCTGCTCTGTTTGGCTGGGGCTCCTTCACTCAGCTCGCAGCCTGAGGAGGAGTAGGAAGCATCTCGGTGGAGGGGCAGGGGGGGGCACCGAGGACCCAAGGGTGGACCACAACCGTGACCTGCCAGGCTCAGCACAACAGTAGCATGTCAGCGCCTGGAGGCCCTTCATGGATGTGTCGCTCCACAGCAAAGGCCAACCTTCTGCTGTGGATGGGGCTGGTGTCCATCTGCATGGATGCTGTTCAGTCCCAGCACCACCCAGTGGTCACCACCAATTATGGAAAATTGCGGGGAGTAAAGGTTACATTACCAAATGAGATCCTGGGACCAGTGGAACAGTATTTGGGGATCCCGTATGCTCTGGCCCCAACGGGGGAGCGGAGGTTTCAGCCGCCGGAGCCACCCATGTCTTGGCCAGGCATCAGGAATGCTACTCAGTTTGCTGCTGTTTGTCCTCAGTTCTTAGAGGACCGCTTTTTGCTCAATGATATGCTCCCTGTGTGGTTCACCGCCAACTTGGATACAGTGGTAACCTATGTGCAGGAGCAGAGCGAAGACTGCCTTTACCTAAACATCTACGTCCCCACAGAGGACGGTAGGTCAACCGACTCTGTCTCTTGTCTTCTTTCTGTCTTTTACTTCTTCCTGTTTGTCTTTGTGTTGTTCCCTACTGTATTTCTCACTTGCCTGAGCAGGTCTTCCTTGAACTTCTAGGCCATAGTTCACTGAAGGTCTCAGTCCTTTTCTCAGGAAATAGTATGCGCGTGTTTGTGATTCATGTTGAAACGAATGTCATTGTTCACTTATTTTTTTTATGGCACCCACTAGCGCTATAACACAATCCTGGTGTTTACCTTTAATACATCATCATTTAAAGGTGAAGTCATTCTAACGCAGCTCGTCATATCTGCCCTTCTAACCAGGACTGCACTGCCCCAGGTTTGACTGTGTGCTTCATGGATTGTTGTTTAATTGTTTAGGGGAAATCCACCACTAAAGTTTATTATGAATGAAAATAATGACGGCATTTCTTTTGGCATTTGACTTTCTTCACACGACAGAGAGACAGGATGGAACAGGGGACATTATGGTTATATGGTATATCCACCAGGATATATTGTATGACCAGCTGGATGCTCCAGCTCCTGCATTTGTATTCCAAAGCCTAATTGTGCCATACTTTCTTTATTGATCACTTTAAAATGCTTGGATAGAAAGCAGGCTTTGTATTTTCCTTTGCATATGACAATTAAATCAGGATTTATCACATTGGTGATGGACAGCAATACACAAACATACTATTTTTCCCCAAATGTGATAGTGGGCTGGGTGACATTAAATACTTATACATTAAATATGGGATGATTGTGAAAGTGGATTGTTCATGCAGGAGGCTCTTCAATCCTTTCTGTGGAGTTTCAGTGAGCACCGTCTGACCTGCAGCCAACACTTTCACTACTGCTAGCTGCAGCAGCTAGGAAGCTCATTAATTAGCTCCGCATGGGCAAATTTTAAAAGTACTACAGTAAATGAACTGTAATGAATTTATAATCTGGAAGTGATAAATCCATCCATCCATTTCTATCCATTTCCATATGCAGGCCCAGGTAGTGTTACTTAAATTAATTATATCATCAAGACTTGTTATATACTGCCGGGTAGTACTGACAAAAGTGATATAACAAATAATTGTAAGCCATATAGTTATTACAGGATGTCATCATTACATACTTTGGATAGTATGATACATTGCATTATATGTGGTATTAAAAAGTATTAAGTACTAAGTCTTAAATTTAGCTTGATGAACTCTGCAGGAAATTATACTATAATTCATGTTCTTAGATTTAGATTTGCTCTGCTGGATGGATTCATTGAATAAAAATGTTGGGCGAAGTCATGGACAACACGCTAATGTATGCTTTTTTATAATGAATGTTTTTTTTTTTACCGCGAGCAATGTGTCATAACCTCTTGTGATTAGCATAATGGCAAAATTAAACATGTTCTTTGTGCACTAATTACCTGATAGCCCTCTAATTAGCCCTTGATTTGGCCTGCAGTCTAATCAGTGAACTCTGGTTTGTCTGAAAGAGAGGAAATGCAGAGTGTTGTTTAAGTACTGAGAGCTCTGTCAGTCCAAGCTGCTTCGTACTATGACTGATACGAGTGCTTTTAAGCAAGAGTGATGTAAGATTGAAATAAAAACACAACAGAAAGGTTCTGTATTGCTACCAGGCCAAAGGCTCCTCCATAATAGCTTGTTTCCTGCACTCCCCTGTTTGAATGAGCACTTGTGACTTGGAGTGGCTGTGGGGAGCACTTTACCCACCCGGGTCCTGCAGCAGCAGCCACCATGTACAAGACGCAATGTGTGTTCTGTAAAAAGCACAGTGTGTGGAATGTAACCTGAAGTGGTTAGAGGTCAGCGGGAGCGGGCTGGCTGAGCGGTTTTAGGGAAGCAGCGAGACGGTGTGGACGCCTCTGGAAGGATAGTGAAGCACATTAACGCTTGTGTCAGGCTGAGATCTTTGACAGCTCCAAGCTAAATATGGACTGAGCTCTTAGATAGATTAAAAAGTGCAGGAGAGGGATAATCTCACAACGAGGTGTTTTTCGGCGGCTTTTCTCAAATGATTCAGTGTCTCCAAAATAAAAAGTTATTGTACTCGAGTAGAGCAATAAATCAGTGGACAGCAGTGCTGTATGCATAATAAAAAAGTATTTTTGTGCCAGTTTTAGGTGCATTTAAATATAGTATCATTAATATAGTAGTACCAATTAATAGGGTTTCTCCTGGGTCGGTGCACTTTAGCCGGGTCTGTCAAGCCAAGCAGTCAGGATATGCGTTTCCCCTCCAGCTTCACAATAGGGGATAGCTAAACTGAGCTTTTCTGTAGCTTCTAACAGGGCGTCTGTGGTTTGGAGTGAAGATTCAGTCCCACAATCCTGTCTGTCACATATCAGCCACATTTTACCATTTACTGAGGTTTTTAATCAGAGCTGTGTTACTAATAATACTTTCATTGTGAAAAAGCAATGTGTTTGTCACCAAAATGGTGGCACTTCGTAAGCAGTTTAATAACAACAGGCCAAATCATCAAGATATGAACATATTCTGTGACATTTGGTCTGCGGATCACTTTTAAATAGTACAAAAGGTGTCTCTTGCGAGTCTTCATCATGCGGGTGGTTGAGGAAGAGGGGGCATGCTGAGAAGTAGGAGGGGGCCCATGTGTCGAATCTACTAAACGACAGATTTAACTCAACAGCCTTTCTAGTGCCACCTTCTCCCCGTGACTGTTTGGTTGATTATAGTGGGTGATGGTCCTCATGCCTCTCCACACTTCCCTGGTGTTATTCTGCTGCAGTCTGGCCTCCATATTCCTCCTGTAGATGTCCTTGCCCTGCTTGACCTTACTCCTAAACTCTCTCTGAATCTGTTCAAGCCCCTCCTTGTCCTCTGCCCTGAAGGCTGTCCTTTTCATTCAGGAGGGCCTTGATGTCCCCAGTGATCCGGGGCTTGTTGTTTGGGAAACATTTTAGAGTCGTTGCAGTAACAACATTGCCACACTAAAGTTGATGCCCTCATGACTCTGTTGGATAGCCCCTCAACGTCTCCTGTTCCACCAGTGACCATCTCCCGGCTCTACTAGGCGGTCGTAAAATGCCACTGAACAAGGGGTATTTTCTGGCAAGAATTGAACCAGGTTGTGATCAGACCTGCCAAGAGGGGGGAAAATTGTGGAGTTGTGCTTTGACATTAGCATAGAGTAAATCCATTGTCTTTATTGTGCCACAAACTGTGGCAAAGTTTGTCGAGGTGTTGGCAAGTGGCGTGTGTATAAAGTCTCCAGAGATCGGCATGAAGACATTGGGGTGTCTGCTCGGCTGTGACGGAGTGAATGACGTCAAAAGCGTGTGAATGTGGTTGGTTGGTCCTGATGGGCAGGTGGCCCCCTGTATGGTAGCCCCTGTCATCAGTGTATGAATGGGTGTGAATGGGTGAATGATGACGTGGTGAAAAAGTGCTTTGACTGGTCGGAAGTCGAGAAAGGCGCTTACAAGTACAAGTCCAATTACCAGCTACAAGCCTGTGCCGTGTCGGCGGAGTGCAGAACAGCGATAGATAGTAGGGATGCAGACCCAACGCTAAAAGTTTGGTGTCAATGTCGGGCTACAGACAAGTTCCTTGACAGTAATTTGTCTAGTGTTGACTATCTGTTGTCAATGACATCGGCAAGACCCCTCCTTTCCTCTTATCGCTCTTTTCTCAGCCAGTGTTGGTGGCGTCAGAGTCCAGGATATCCAAGCGTTGCACTCCCAATATTCTCTCTGACTCCTCACCAGGGCGTTAGCTTATCCAGCTTATTAGTAAGAGATCTCAAATTCCCCATGACGGAGGAGAGATACGGCCTCTCTCTCCAGTTCTTTCCCCGTTGCTTAAACTCCCCTCTGTAGCCGTAGTGCTTACTCTTGACTTCACCTGGGATCTACAGTTTCTCCCCAGGTACCTTGGCCAATCGTTGGGAGTTGTTCCCAGGTGTAAACAAGGAAGCTTGATGTAGTTCCCAGACAGAAAAAGGGTCTCACACACCAGGAGGGGAACTTTCAGAAACGTTGCAGAGTGCATGGTGGTTATGTATTGCTTGCTAAACTTAACAAACTACAATATTAAACAAAAGTAGAAGATTGGATGTGCGCTTCTCTTGACGAACTGTCACCTGGGACAGTGTCCGAAACTTACAGTTTACTAAAGATCTAACCAAACAGTTTTGTGTTGGACATTAGCTTTTAACCACGTACATGTCTTGATACCTCTTTTATTCACAATAGTTTGTTGCATTTAGGGTGTTGTACATGTAGAGCGGTTGGTTTCTTTGCCAACATACCGTTCAAGGTATTTTCTTTAAAGATCGCTGATCTCTTCAAACAACCAGACTTTTGATACCACAACAGTAGCATTTACTGAACTCAACAAATCTTACTGTACTTTTTTTAAAATTACATTTGACTAGCTGGAACCACCAATTTTGTCATCCTGGCTTTGAAAATGACTGACAATTATCTGATTCTTTTGATCAACTGATAAAGTAATCATAGGCAAAATGCAATACATAGTTTCAATTGCTTAGCCCAAATGTATTCAAATGTCATTTATGTGCATTTGTAACGGATTCCTGTAATATCATTAAAATATGCTCCTCTCTGATTTATTGCTGTTGTCGCCTGCAAACATCATACAGAGTGTCCAAAATGCCATCAACTTGCAAAATATACTGCTGTTCAGCACGACCACTATGACATTATCTTTTTACCCAACAGGGGGTTGAAAGGTTTCCATCAGACGAGGCATTGTGGAACATGACGCACGACATTCGTCCAGGCAGCTCTATGTCTCTAAGCTATTTTTAATGGATTCTTGGAAGCAATGGGAGCCGGTGTGTGTTTGGAGGTGGGGTGAACCTGTAGGAAAACACACCACAGTGGCTCCAGACTGTACGTGAACATCACCCAAAGTGAAGTTATGAGGTGTTCACCTAAACACAAAATAGAATGGGAGGTTTGCCCCACATCCCTGGTTTGGTACATGGG